GTAAAATTGCCGCAATCACACAGTTGTAAAATTTTTAATTGTTGAATTTTAATCACACGGTTTTAAAAAAAATATAGATTTAATTTTATATTATATTTTTTAAATTATCCTTTTTAAATAAGAACCGTCCTAATGGTTATCAACACTTGAATGTGTGAATCTTTTCATTTTGTATAATCCTATCAAATAATAATAATTTCCTTATAAAATTAAGAGTTAGGTAATCTTCCCTTCTATAATTCTTCCGAAATTATCAAGTCATAGTCAATAGTTTCTTTTGTTCCTTTTTCAGTTTCCGAGTCGCTTTCTATGGGCCAATGTTGCAACTTTTCCTTGCTTAATTCACATTTTCTAGAACAAAAGCATAATACAATTTAATCACATTTTAATTTTAAAAAATATCTCAGTCAAAATAAATATTGATTCATAATATCGTAGAAGACTAACCAAAGGTTGATTAAAAATAAAAATTACTAAAACAAAAATTAATATATTTTTTCATTTAATTCAAACATATATTAAGCAGAGTCGGTGATGAAACACGACCAAAACAAAACCATCAAACCTCAAAGAAACCAAATCACAAACAAAACAATCTCGTAAACTCCGAATGAAGAACCAAAACAACCTCAACATAATCACCAAGAATCCAAAACCACCTCTAACATCAAACATGGATCCTCAAATTTGGAGCAAATTACCACCTGAAATCCTCGAAAACATTCTCTCTTTCCTTCCTCTCAAAACCTTCATGAGTCTTAGATCCACTTGCAAAGGTTTCTGGCCATTGATTTTCTCTCCTTCATTCATCTCCAAACACTCACCTTCTTCTTCACCTTTCTCTTCCTTTCTCTTGCTTTCTCACCCTCAATTCCGCACTCACTTTCCTCTCTATGATTGCAACCTTCAAACATGGCGTAATATCTCTCTTTCATTCTCCGATTCACTTCACTCTTCACCGCCTTCTTTCACTACCACTCTTGTCTCTTCTGGTGGTCTTTTCTGTTTAACCGATTCACTCTCATGTTCTTTACTTGTTTGTAACCTCTTAGCCAAATCCAAAAGAAAAATTCAATACCCTAATTTCAATCTTCATATTGAGCATCTTACATTTGTTTCAACTCCAAAGGGGTATTTCATTTTTATACTCTCTTCTGAATCATCTTCAAATAATGCTTATCTTTATGAATCAAACTCAAAGGTTGAATCTTGGAGGAAATTCAATGGTTTTGATCCGATTCTAAGTGATAACCCTCATCAACAAGGTGTTTACTTTAAAGGAGGTTTGTATTTTGCTACACCAGAGCCTTTTTCTGTTGTGTATTTTGATTTGGGAAATGGAAAATGGGAGAGACCTGTTTGTGATTTACCTAATCAACTCACTTTTGTGAGATTGGTTAGTATGAATGATGATGGTGGTGATAATGATTGTAAAAAACTGTTTTTGATTGGTGGTGTTGGGAGCAATGGAATTTCAAGGAGTATAAAGTTATGGGAAATGAGTGAAGAAGGGACTAATTGGGTTGAGATTCAGAGTTTGCCTGATTTGATGTGTAGGAAATTTGTGTCAGTTTGTTATCATAATTATGAACATGTTTATTGTTTTTGGCATGAAGGAATGATTTGTATATGCTGTTATACTTGGCCAGAGATTTTGTATTATTTGGTTTCTAGAAGGACTTGGCATTGGCTTCCTAGGTGTTCTTCTTTGGCTTTGAAATGTAGCTGTGGATTTAAGTGGTTTTCTTTTGTTCCTAAGTTGTATGCTCAAGTTTGAAGGGTGAAAAGAGTGAATGTTTTTTGAGGTTTTTGTTTTATGGGTCTTATATTGTAGAACTTGTATGTAATGTATCATTGAATATAAAGTTGACTGTTTGATCAAAATTGCACCATATTTCAATTTAAAGTTTGTTTAAATAGTATCTTGTATGTAAGATTTTGTATTCTTTTATTTTTATTTTGTAGATTTCTTGCTCTGATTCATTTATCAGTTAAACAAACTCTGAGAAATCCTAAGTCTATGAAACTTGTAATCTTGTGATGCTCCTCTGTCTCAAAAGATAGGATGTCCTAACTAACCAACCAACCGCTATTCCATCTCCATTGTCTATTGAGTCTGCTTTAAACAAATTCTCTTTTGTCGGATTATTACCGATGTAATTATAAAAAGCTAATTTTTAAAGAATTTTAGACTAAGCTTTTGATAAACTTTGATTTTCGACTAGTCCACTACCAACTCTTCGATTTATTTCTTGCTAGAAGTATTCCTGATCCCATTGATAACGAGTAGGACCAAATAATTCGATTAATTTTGACATGTAAAAATATTACCAATCAATAAAAAAGAAATATATGTAAAATTTTGGATAGGAGAACATGTTCCAATGTGGAACAGAAATCAGGTGATATGCTGATAAAATTTGGTGCGGATGTATCTACAAGATTAACACTTTAACGTATAAGTCAATGAGGTCATACATGTGTAACTTGCAAGAATAAAATTAATCTTAGTGTGGCGTGAAGTTACGCCGTTATATGGACGATAGTTAGGATCGCCCCCAGTGTATACAATGTAAGATGTGGTAGACCTCTGGACGATCCTTCGTGTCGATAAGAAAAATGGTGGTGAGTTAAGCAGGAACAAGTGACCTTGGGAACACATACATTAAATGTTTCTCTTGCTACTAAAACGTTTCATTGTGGAAGCCCTCCACCCTATACCCCTAGGATATGAGTGAGGGCGACACAATTTAGAGCGCTTGAGCACACTTAAGTGTCATTATAGAACCAAGGTTGATTATGGATTGTTGATTGCTTCATTTGATGATATTTTGATTTCTGATTGTAGATTCAAATGTCATTGACTGCCTATAAATTAAGTGAGTGCATCTTATCCATGAAAGACTGGGACCAAAGTTTACTTTCCTTCATGCATGGAAAAAATATGTTTGAAGTTTATATAGATATTTTTAAAACTTTTGAGGATGGAGATTATTTTTTCACCAATTCAACTACAATTCCTATAAAAGTTTGTGTGACATAGAAGATCATGTGGATCGTAGAATCTTCCTTCTGAAATACATTTTTTTTTATCAATTTCTTAAGTATTTTAAAAATAATTATTTTATGCAAGACCCGAGAGTTTATATCTATAAATCTTGTGACCTGTCTCTAGAGATCAATCTCATCTCATTTTAATCTCCATTTTATGGATGAGGACTAAATATTTGGTGAGGAGTGGGAACTTAGGAAAAGAAAGAATGAATAGTAGATAGAGTGTGAAAGAAAAACAAAAAATACGAAAGCGTCTTAGAAATGATTTGGTTTTGAATGTTCTTGTTGTTACATGGAGTTGCAAATTGCAATGAATGAGTCAACATCAAGATAACTTCATTTTGTTGACTGACTTAAATTTTGGGTATCATTTTCTTAGTAAAAAAAATACATCAACCAATTTAAGCTTATCTTTTTCTTTTCTTTTTTGAATAACCATATTATTATTGCAAAGTATTCAATCTAAAACTAATCTTTATATTATTGCAAAGTACTCAATTTAAAACTAATCTTTATTATCATTGGAGAATTTTAGTACTCTCTCATTATTCTAGTCACATTTTTTCTATTCATAAAGTTTGAACCTAAGCTTTATTTTAAACCACTACAATAATATTTTATGTTTATGTTCTAAGAGCCTACTTGAGTAAAAAATATAAATCTAAGACCCTTCTAAAGTCGAAAATTTATACATTTCTATTTTCTAGAACATTATTATGTTGACATTTTCAAATGAATTGAAAGCTACACATGATCTTTTTCTAATACTAGTTTTTTTTCCTTCCACTAAAATGATAGCTAAAAGTTGTATTTTTATAATAAATTTAGTTGTACAGTTTCAACCAAGTGATTTGACTTATTAGTGCTTAACTTATAATTTAAGTTAGCCCTATAAATATCTCTTTGTTTATTCAAATCTCAAACACGTCTGAACACTTGAGTTTTTTTTGGATGAATTTAATAATCTGTTTTTTTTTTTTGGGTATGAACAGAGTTCATAAATAATGTATATTGAAATTACTAAATACTCCTATATTAATGTTTATTTTAAGCTTGTTCGAGTTTGTTGATCAGTCCATAATTATGAAGTCAGATGAAAATATTTTCTTTGCTTCATTCCAATTTCATATAAATTGATTGTGAAATTGTGAATCTATTATATTCTTAAATATTTATTATTTTCTCTCTTTCTAATCATGTAAATTTGTCTTTCTAATATCATTAATGAATGATTATTTTGTAAAATCCTTTATAATTTCTCAAAGCGGAGAGCGTATCACTCAAGAGAGTAATAATCTAATGTAGTTTCAAAATTTGAAGCGCCAAATAAGTCTATTTCAAAATCACGGTAAAAAAATCAATCATATCTATCTATAAGATAAAAAGTTTAGCATTCGAAGTTTATTATTATTGATTACTTTTATAAGGTTTAATTATCTTCAAAGAGATCACATTTCCAACATCAACCCGTTTTTATAAAGTCAAAACTTATAATTGATTAAACCCCACAAAAATGTTTCTAACACATTGTTCACACAACTTTAATCTGCACAAGTCTCTTGAAGAAGCTTGGCTTAGAGTGGATTTCAAAATAGTGAAATGAAGCAATAAATGTGCAAGAAAGAAGCAATAAATGTGTCAATATGTTGTTGAATTCAAAGTTCATAAAGTACAAAGAATACTAATAATTCCAAAATATATAGTTGCTTAAATTTCTTTCCCCAACTAGTTTTCAATCAGAGGATATTATCAATACTAGTTTATAACTCATACACAGACGATTTCTACATCATCCAATCAATCATTTGAAGATAAAAAAGACAAAAATAATCATGAAACCAAAAATTGATACCCACTTCCTAAAACTTTTTCCTTGCAATCAATTTGATTGAAGGAATATGAGACATTTTAACTTAGCAAATAGTCCCTATCTATAATAAATCCCTTTAAGGCTTGAGCAGGAGGGAGAAACCAAATTTAGGACTATTTTCCAATGCCTTTGTTTCAAAGGCGCCAGAGATTGTCAAGAATGACCTATGTGTAAGCTCATGCCGCAATAACGCCCCAAGATTACCATGGTTATTCAGCTTTGTCTTCACTGTTGTTCGAGGATCAACCACATAAGAACATCCAACCGTCAACGTGTTCTCATTCGTAGAGAACTTCCTGCTCATTTCTCCCACAACCGCTCCCCCATTCAATTTTTCTAGGTCGCGCAAGTACGATACCTTCATGGAATCTCCCTTGTCAGCCCTAAAAAAATGAAACAAAACAATTATCAGTTATTCAACAAGTCTTCCAAAGTTGGAGGTATCTTAAAACAGCATCACACATATACATCTAAAATACCTGAGTTACTTACAAAATGGCAGAAGCATGGGAACTCGGCATCTTCAAGCACAATCCAGCATTATACTTTGTAAACTTCCCAACACTCGTGGAGTAGCTAGTTTCTGCACCAAATGCAATTCCAGGAGTACCAATTGTCGCAGAAAAATCAATAGCAGGGTTGCGATTTAAATCAACAGAAGTAGTAAAACCAGCATGATCATGAAGATATTGGATCTCAATCTACATAAATCAAAAAACACAATCGTCAAAACTTCAAAAGTATAAAACACTACTATTTGTCCCAATTACAAATCCAATCTCATACACCAAACAGTCCTCTGTACCTTGCCGGAATTATAATCAGGTAACCGAATAGAAGCAATGGCTTTCGCAGAAGTCACGAAATCTGTGAGAGTAAATGTCGTCAACACCTGAAGAACATATACATATTACACAACACAGCTAAACAAAGCAGAAAAATATAACTTAATTTAAAATCAATTAAATCGAAAATCGATCGAGTACATACACTAGATTCGGTATCAACTTTGAAATGAAGAGTATTGTTTTTGTGGTTAATTTGAGCAGCAACATCTCCATAGGAAAGTCCTCTACTCTTCAATAACGTTGAATTCAAATCCTGAATTTATGATAATCAACAACAATTAATAATAACTTGCAATTACTAGAACTAAATCTCAACAGAAGTCGCGAATAAACTTAAAAACAAATTATGAAGTAGATTTGATGAAAAGTAGTTACGCACGATGCCGGAGTTGGTGGAGGAGGAGATTGTGAATCGTTGATCGGAGTTGTAATCTTTGGTAAGGATATCTGCGGCGAAACCGGGATCGGAAATTCAAATCGGAATTCGAAAGAGAAATAGAAAAAATGAACGAGAAAAAAGAGAAACGGAGAGAGTGAGTGAGTTTACCTCTGGATAATTTTCCGATATCGGAGAAGAGACCGGGGCCTTTGGAAGACATTGTTGATGAACGCCGAAACGAAGAAGAAGCAAGGGTTTATGTAAACCCTTCACAGTGTATTCAAAAAGCGAAAGAAAAAAACAGCAAAAAAACGAATGAAAAATTACAACTGAGAAAATGCTTTCAATGAGAGTTGAACTCATGACCTCCCGCTTACTAAACGGGTGCTCTAACCAACTGAGCTATGAAAGCTTGTTGAAATGTAAAGCAATTTTAATAATTAATATAATAAATATTGGAAGAGATATAACAATGTTCACACGTATTATAAGTTAAAAGGCTTAACAACTTTACTCTTATTACTAATTAACTAGTGGAACTTCTTCTCTTCTGTTTGATAAATTAGAATATATTATTAATAGTGTCAAGTCATTTATTCAACTTTAAATTGTCATTCTTTATATGCATGTTTTGGAAATGAATTTCGTATATAATTTAATTATGTGAAATTAAAATGTAATATCTCACCATTTAAATTCAATTTTCTAAATTTATCATGTGTTTTTATCTTTGTAGAATAGGAACATATCACATTATACATTTTCACATATAAATTATAAATATAATTTATATCAATTTTTTTATCTTCTTTTTAGTGATGCAACACTTCGAAAGAATTATATCCAAAATATAAAATTTGAAATTTGAAAAAGGTCCATAATTATTTAGTAAAAAAAATAGTAAATAATAGATAAATTAGGTGATACAATATCTTCTTTGTAAAAATCTTTATGCAAGATTTGTTTGTAGATCTATACATTTCTTTTTTATCTTAAAAATTTATCATCAAGTAGAACAATAACAAAAAAAAAATTGTAATGTAATTAGATAAATACTATTTCAAAAGCCATTTGGAAGCAACTTTTATCCCTTTCAATTTGTTCTTTACATGATTCCAATGTAAAAAAAAACAAAGAAATTACTTGATAGCAAAATGGAGCAATAGTACTCAATCTTCTTAGTTACAAGCTCTATAATTCATGGAACATTATTCACCAAAACATTTTGGCTATATATCATATAAGTATACATTATAAACCATCTCTGCATCCAATCCATTGGTGTAAACTTGAACAACCATAAAAGATGGAGCATTAATGTTGAATAAGAAACACTTTACACACTTAACATGATAAAATATATTTAAACCATATTAATTTCATAATTAGGTAGAATCAAATGAACACTCTTCATGTTCTTTTCACCAATGAAATTCCACTAGGGTCACCTCCCCATTCTTCAAGCACAACCAAGACATTCCCACTTGGACTCAACCATGAACGAGGAATATGATACCATTTCTGTGTAGGTTCTCCGCAATTTGTTCTGCATTTTGCATTAGTAAACGTTCCGGCATAATCACATTCACCGCAATTACCATGAGCAATATATCCAGGCCAATGACGACCGATGCTTTGATCATTTATCCATATTTCACCCTTTCCCATGCTACTCATATCTAGGGCCAACGGATCCTCTCCGTCCGGCGCATTAAAGGTTGTCTAACAAGATTGAAGAGAAAAATGACTCAGATTTCATGCAAATAAAGATGTTCATATGAAACATTGACACAATTGTTACCTTTTTAGTAAAAATATTCTTACCTTGTACCATGTCAAAGGTTGTTTTGTAGCCAATGATGATCCTTGTGTCCACTCAACAGATGAACTTCCAGTTATGGTATGAAGGCTCAAGGATTCGCCTTTTAGTCCAACCTGTCCAACAAAATCAAACTCGTCTCAACAATGTACATTATAATAAAATTTTAGTCCCTGCAAAAAAAATTATTTGCGTATTGAACCTTTTAATGCTGCTAGCAAGAAATGAGATGTAGAATATATCAAACCTTGTAAGACCATTTCTGCCACGACAAGTCGCGAGTCCCTTCGTTTAGACCCTTCAATGTTACAGGTCCTAACACTCCAACATTCCATGTTTCAAAGTGCAAGCCAACATTCTGGTTTTAATTTGAATGCAGAAAAAAGTTAAAATATTACTCATCACCAAATTGAAAATGTCACCTAAAACATATACATAAAAAAAAATACTAACCGGAAGACCGACGGCAACACTAAGTAAAGAAATCTTGTTGTTGCCAACCTTTAGGTTCACACTTTCACTAAATGTTAACTTAGGATTATCCAATCCTCCATATACAGTTCCTACATTCATACAACATATTGTTCATTTAAAATATATATAAATGAAATTTATCATGAAAAATTTTCCAAGAAGAAAAAACATACTGACCTGAAAGTTGTCCATTAACAAAAACAAGTAGAACATGACCTGCTGAGTTTGCGGTAAGAATAGGAGACGGACCGTTCTTTATAAAACTTTCATTAGGACTAATGTTGACACTGAAAATCGTTAAATAATAGAATTAACATCAAGACACTAATTGATATTCTAATTTCTTTTGATGTGTTGAGAAGTTAAGAAAGTTGAAAAATTCTTACTCTGTCAAATACCACAGATAATCTGAAGAATCGCGAGTAATGTTGATCTGCTCCCAAAGTGCTTCTGCTGTGACAGGATCGTCTTCACTAGAGAAGGCGGGATCTTCGGTGTATGATTGCCAATCAAACGTAATGTTTGTCGGAGTCATCGCTTTTGGGGAGCTCTTTACACCAACCTACATTTTGGTATCAGAGTCCGGTTTGTCCATCAGTTATACCTTTACTAAACAAAACTTATTCAACATATTTGGTTATCTTGTGTTACCTTTGCGGTGTTGAAAACTTCGGTTTTGCAATCAGGAAGAATGCTGACAGACCAAGGTGGAAGGTCATGATGGCTATTTCCAAATGTAACCGTTGCCGCCGATTTCGTGTCATAATTTGCAAGAAATGCAGCACAAACACTACTACTTATGTAGTACACATGTGCCTAAGAGCAAATTGACAAAACAAATCTTTAACACAGTAACAATTTTGAACCTTAATTTTATCATGAACTAGATAATAGAATTTACCTCGAGGTTTTTCCCGAAATATGTGACCGTAGGATCCACAGCAATCAAAGCTGGCTCACACTGTTTTATCGCTTTATGTAGGTCTCTCAAATGTCCCCATTTTGGTTCATTCACAAGTCCTAACATTTTGAAACACTTTAAAATGCTTCTAACTGTTATAATTCAAAACATGCAAACAATTCAAACCGTAACGCGTACCATATTCGTCAATAGGAGCATCATAATCATAGCTTGTGGCAATGAAAAGACCACTCGATGTTCGACCAAAATTAGTTCCTCCATGGTACTGCATTCAAAGATAAGATATCAGACAAAAATCAAAGTTTCTATAACATAAACTCAGAAGTAACATATACCATATAGTAGTTAACAAAGGAGCCGCGATTTTGTATGAATCTAGCAACCGAGTATGCCAAATCTTCGATCGGTCTATGAGATATGCCGCTACCAAAATCGGTGTACCTATAGAATCGGTAACAAAAAATTAAACATTTGATCTCAAATGAAATGCTTCTAGCTTTAAGTTAATGGTAGCATTCGAATGAGAATGACTTACCAACCAGACCAATTCTCAGTCCACATTTTCGGTTTATTGTTCTCATTGGGAGTGAAGTTTTCACAATAATATCCATTGCAAGTGTCAATCTACAACACAGTCAATAACTAATATTAAAATCCTCGTTTTCATATCATCTGATCTTGATCAAACGACTATCGATTTTCCAAATGCGTGAATACAGATAGTCCTGATTACAAAAGAAAATCTTACAACGGGATCAGGGGCGTCTTCTTGCTTGCACATATCCCAAGGTACACCGGTGTCTAGACCTACCGCCATTTGAGCAGCCCAACTTGTGTAAGCCTTTCCAGGAGCACCAATCTCCCATTCCACAGGTCCATACTCATTCTCAATCTGTAAATTCAAATGGATATCATAAACTTTATGATAAATATTTAACATAAACTTTATAATAAAAATTTGTTACATCAAAATAGTTATTTATTTACCTGAGACATAATTATTGGACCACCTTGAGTTTGAAACAAATTCTCTGATTTCATCAAGCTCACAATCTTAGTGGTAAATTTTTGCATTGCAGCCTAACAAATTTACATCATGCCAAAAATTTAGATGATTAATTAAAAATAATTAAACAAAATCACAATCAACTATTTATTAATAAATCATTGGAAATAATGATATGCTTAAAATTGAAACTCAAACCTTAAATGGTTCATTGTCTGTTCTAAAAGCCATGCCCGGAACATACTTGAGCCAAACGGGAAATCCTCTGCGCGTAAAACTTTTATTATAATCACTTGTAAAATCGCGTAAAAATGATTGATACTAATAATGTAAATTTTTTTACACGGACCCGAAGTTCCATTCAGCGCAAACATAGGGACCAATTCGCAAATGAACATAAAGACCAGCTTGCTGTGCTAGCTTGATAAACTTTACCAAGTCAAATCTACCCTCAAAGTAATACTGAAAAATTTTCAACATTATATAAAACTTGAATTAGTGAAAAATAATTAAATTAAAAAATGAAAGAACTCATCAAAAAAATAAATATTACATTTCCAGGAGAAGGCTCATGTCCATTCCAAAATACGTAAGTTTGAATAACATCTAGACCTCCATCTTTAGCCTTTTGAAATAAATCCGGCCACATCTGCATAGAAACATATTTAAAATTATCATCAATATTGACGTGCCAGTATCATGTCAACGTCTGTGTCAATGTTTCGTAGTGCATAGTCTATCTATGAAATTGAACAAAGAAAAACAAAAACTAATGCTCTATAGTAGTTATTATGAGTATCGCGTGTCAGGTGTCTGTGTCAATGTTTTATAGTGCATGATCTATCTATGAAATAGGACAAAGAAAAACAAAAAGTAATGCTCTATAGTTAGTGGAGTGTACCTCTGGTGTGCTTCTTGGATAGTGGATAGAACCAGATATCAAAATTCTTCTCTGTCCATCAATTACAATGGCTTTATGATCATAACTAACAGAAGCTG